ATGCTATACTGTATTTCTACGTTTCAGCTAAGAGAAATTGATCCCAGTAGAGCAACAATGAAAAAAACCTAAGAAATAATTCTATACCATGGATGGAATACCAAACAGTGCCAGTAAACGCATCCATTGGTGATTTACTGGTGGTCTGCTCCAATGGCTTTTTCTGATAAAAAAAAACACCAATTATTTTATTTTTAAAAGATGAGCCCGTTATTTTACCAAACAAAGCACTGGCTACAGCATACTCTTTATTTCTAATAATGTTCCTGCAACTATGTGTGTTCCATAAACTTTCTTATAAAATAAAAAGAATGACAGCTACTTTCAACTGCTTTGTTTGGTAGCGTGCCCACAAAGAGAAAAAAAACCCACACATACCAACACTGGCAGATCAAGCTACTCTACATAAGCGAGAAACAAGCCCCACACTCACACATACTGACAATATTACCTAATTTGAGTAATGAAACATCTGCAAGCTAACAACCACACTCAGAGAGCACCAAAGTTACCACTTCTAACTATATCCCTAGCCAGAGTTCAAAAGAGTTAGTAAAACTAAGGTGGCAACTGTAACCTAAGTATTTGAATGGATGAGGTGAAAAATAGATTTATTGACAACAGGGCAAAGAATTCGTTCATCTGAGAAGCAGATATTCAGAAGATGACTTAATTATCCTTTTAAACAGAAAAAAACTATCTAGTCCCAATCTCTGCAATTAGGGATAACAGCTGATTAGATGCTGTTAGAAGAGGCAAACCAATGTTACTCTTCCAGGTCTATGTTAATGTAGACTTACATTCAATCAGTATGAAATTTGTTAAGGTGAGACTAGTACAAGTAGCTAGGCACATTGGGCAGTATATCATGGGATGGAAATGGTACAGCCTGGTACAGGTTGTGGTACTGTTAACAAGATGGTAGAAATACAGAGAGTTTCAAATGACACAATTAACTTTGTGGCCAAAATGTCCAATACCGTTGATCCGAATTTAAAATTGGATGACCTATTTCGCGGTTGTTATGTTGCCTGCATTTATGACAAAAAATGAAGGGTAGGCAACATTGTGGAAATTTCGATTGAACAAAATGATGCATTGGTAACATTTATGCATCCGCGAGCCCCTGCTCATTCATTTTATTGGCCTGAAAGACAAGATGTTTGTTGGGTTCCAGAACCACATCTTATTTGTGTTCTTCCAGTGCCTTCAGTTACATCGTCAGGTCGACAGTATCAATTCCCAGAAGCGATGCTAAAAAACGTGGCGTATAAATTCAATAATACATAAGCAATCATTAGAATTTGGCAGTTCATACGAACAGTATGGACTTCGGCTTGGAAACCATATAAGATACCCACTTTAGGCATGGGAACCTAGGATAAGCTGCCCAACTGGCAGCTTGGGAACCAGACAGATACCCACACAAGGCTTTGGAACCTCAAGGAAGAAACCAAACTACAGGCTTGGGATCCTGAACCAAGAAACCCACCCATGGCTGGTATTGCATGGCTATCAGGTGTGCCCTCTATGCCGATGGGGTTGTTGGGTAAAATGCCTGAACTGGTAGTGATAATGTCACCATGGACCTATGCAATATGATAGTAGTAATGATGTCTATATAAAACAAACAAGACGAAACAATAATAGAATGGGTGTGATGTTGTCATACAACGTCCTCCACTTTGTCCATATTTTAGGGCTTTATACGTCAGCGATGAAACACCAACTCTACTTTTTTAGAGGGTTTGAAACATGCTCTTTCTAATGAGAATTAGAAACAGTGTTTCCAGAAGATCATTTTTTGTAAAAGCGGGCTGAAAATACCCTATTTTTGGCATTTTTACAAAAACCGTCAAATTTACACTCAATTTGTGAACTATTGAAAAGCAGTAGGAGAATGAAATTTTATATTCGACAACCTTGTGTTGCTAAGTTATTATGCACAGTTTCACGTTTCTCATACCTTTCCTTCCAGAGGTATAAGAAGCCAAACTTTACCCTTTTTTCGCGCCACAATCATTTTCGGCCAACTTTGCTCCCAATTATCTAAATGGAGATCGCTCATGAGAATGTTTTTATTATTTTGTTTAATAGAGCACAACAAGTTGGCTAAGTTTTGTTTCTTTCAACAAAATATTGCCGGAGATATTATGTCTCAAAGTTGCTGAAATCTCAGTCTCATACTGTCGAAGGCTGCGGTATGGGGTCATACAAATGACTATATCTCCGCAAGTATTGCATTGGCAAACATAACACTTTATCAATGTTAATTGGGGATGTGTGTGCATGTTCACACCAAATTTCATCAAAATCCGTGCTGGTCGACCTGGGCACTTTCCTGAAATCAGACCATTTGACATGGAATGACCCAACTTCTAAGCTTTTTGCATTCTCATATACAATCTCTGTGTGCTCTGAATGTTGAAGCCATCAAATAATCTTCTCTCAAAATCTGGCAAACAGTTCTTAATATAATTCTTTGCTTCTTGCTCAATAATCATAGATTTCTTCAGTCTAACTATTTTACTGATGCTGATCTGCAACCACAGAATATTAATACACTTTTGTTCTGCCATAGTTAGAGCATTGTGGGACTCACTGATGATCAGATTCAACTGTCAAAACAAAATGGAAAGTATGGAATAACTGCCAGTTCTGCAATTTCATTCCTTACTGATATACCATGAATATTATATTAGACTAGCACAAAGTCTTAATTTTGATACATATCGTTTGGCAGAACAGAAACATTCTTCACATTCATGCACATTCAAATATCTCATTGGGAACTATTTACAGTCCTCAAAACATGCTTTAAATGTATCCAGTGACGTATTTTAAACAATGCTATTTATATTGTCCCTCCACCAAATAAGCCCACGGTACTGCAAGAACTGATCAATTAAGCTATATTGCATAGAGTGGAAGATGCATGACTAAAAACGCAAATCTCTGGCATAGTGTTCAATAGCAGCACAGAATAATAATAGCAATAATAAAGGAGAATTCCTATCAACAGGGAGCATATCCATAAAGACAGCACAACTAGGAGATGGGCTCTGTTACACACCCAGGTCCTGGGCTTAGGCACGGACCCGGGTTTTCAAACTCTTCTGAAAAGTCAGAAGGTTGGGGCTGATCTGATTTCGAGAGGATCTATAATATAATAGATATAATTTCATTTTATATCTAGGTGCTCTAATAAAGAAGCCTTAGCTTAATTATGAAATTTTGTCACTGGTAGTACTAACATTAATTATTTTGGGGCTTGAGTAAGTTGTCAGAGTCAGGTACCCATATATCATCATGAGGATTAAAACTGTCAGATATTCAGGTTGAATCAAATGTTGGTCTATCACTGGGACACTTCATTTTGTTCTTTAGAAAACCTTTACATTTAAAACACGAATGGTCTTGTTGGGACAAAATACAGACCAAACACAGGTATTCTAGAGACTAAGCACATGATTATGGTTATAGAGGCCACTTAAGTGATTCTACATGCTGAAGTGCCACACCCATGTGGTAAACTGTAATCATCTTCAAATTCACTGTAATTTTGAGTTTGCTGGATCATGGAAAAAAGTTGCTTGATCCATGGCATGGAGAAAACTTCATGATAAAACTTCATGATACAAAGAATAATTAACGGCAGGACATGTAGCTTGTCAGAACTTATGATTTAAACATTTAAATCATAATGTTTAAAACATTTAAACAGCTGTCAAAGACAATTCTGAGCTATCTTACTGGCAGAAAGTATCCAGGTTTTACCACAAAGCCAACCTCTTCTTAGTGTAACTTTGGAAAGACTGAAATATTTTTCAGATACTGTACCTAAAGTGGAACTTGAAAAATGTAAGACAGGTTAAAAAGAGGAGGCAGGCTGTCTAGAAATCGTGGCAGCAATCTCAAGCAGGCGCACAAAGAATTTAACCTGAAGTTTAAATATTAAAAACATTTCTGTATTTCTGGTTTCTGCTTTAGGAATATACCCCTCATCTCACAGTAAAAATTAGACATTCTCTGTCTAATCTTTCTGATGTGTGGAATTTGATATGACAGAGGAAAAGATGTTTTTGAGGGTTCTTAAAGAATTCCGATCACAGAATCTAGAGAGCTTGCAGGAAAGAAATGCTAGTTGCAATCCCAGGTCAGCAAATTCACAGTACAAATTAAGAAAAAGATACAAACAAGTTTTGCTAACCTTGGGTTACCAAGGTTAAATTAGACTATATCCTGAAAAACTGTTCCTGAGCCAAAGAGGATATTAATGCATTCTCTTCCTTACTGATATTATCTAAAGATTTAAAACCTAATCAGGATGCATAACAAGCCCTGTTGTCAGCATACTAGATTTTGCCTCACAAATAATTTTTCGATTTGGTGAAGCATGCTAAAAATGCAGCAAGCATTTTAAAAAGCCACAATGAGCTGGCTGATGATAAACTAAAGTCTTCCAATGTGGATATAGGTACAAACAAACCCCTTACAATGTATGTAACTTGAAAAGCAACCACAGTAATCTGTTATTAACTTTAGTCTCCCTACATCTTAGAACATTGTGACACGCTTAACAGGTTTGCTATATACAACAATAGTGACACCAGTTGCACACTACTTCACTGTCATGCTTCATCAGCACTGGAAAGTCTTTTCAGAAGGCCAGGTAAAGAACCAGACAAACAAAATACAGAATACTCTTTCCTTCCCAAATGCAACAAGCAGCAGACACCTCTAACCAGTGGGCACAGGCACAGTACTACTCTTCAGTAGTTAACACACCCTTTCCTGAAACTTTGTTAAACCAGCATTGTTTACCGCTAAGGATAATCTCTTCCTTGCTCTCAGATCACGGCTAAATTCCCTTGCCCCAGGTTCCCCTGCAGGGAAGGAAGTGAAGCTGCTTATACTTCCTCACCCTTGAATGGCAAACCTAGCAAATAATTTTAAGCGGGGAAGGAGGAAGAAGGAAGGACCGGCAGAGCCTTTATGACCTGATCCGAAGCTGAAGGAGAAATCCTGCAGGTGAAGAGTGTGGGCCACTGGAAGAGGACAGGCTGCCAGCCTGTGGAGATTCAGTCCTAGTTTGGAAAGAGAGGTCTCTGTTTATCCAGCTGCCTCCTCCCCATGCTGCAAATCATGACAGCTCTTTTTTAAAACAACCAAGAGCACTTCCTCTTACAAGAGCTACTAGTGAGGGAGGCTACCGCTAGAAGGGGCGGGAATGGAAAGCCGGAGACGTGCAAGCTTACTGATCTTGGCTAAGCTGGGGCAAACTGTCTGCTGAATAAAGACTACATGCAAGAGCTATGCTAATGTAAGATCAGATTAGTGATATTTTGTCCGCTTCTGCTTAATACAGAAACGTAAACATAGAGGAAGGGAGAGAGGATAATGCCACATATACCCCCAGAAACATGTCATAATAAACTCTGCAGATACTGCACATTACATAGGAAAAACCTTCATTCCCAGGACTGCATATTGTAAGATTTTGCTTCCATGCTTTTGGGGTGCTTTCATCTTCCTGGTTTTGAAAGATTATACCGGAAAGCCAAAGGTGTGTGTGTGCATACAAGATATCTGGAAGTGAAAAAAAAAACTATCAAAAACTGTAAAGACAGAAATGAAGTCCCCCATAGCCAATTCTTCTGTTGAATATCCGCTTTTCCTCCTTGTAAATAGTGCTGTATCTTGACCTGATTTTGCTTCAGTAAAAGGTCATCCTCCTGCTTCATTTCCGCTCCTCTGTGAGCAATTCTTCCATTTAAACAGACCCTGTTCTCAATGATAGCAGCTACTAGCAAGCAAGGCTACTGCTATAAGAGGCAGGAATGGAAAGCTTATCAGTGATGCCTCTTTATCTTGAAAATGAGCAGGCTGATAAATTATTCTATTTGGGGAAAACAAACCCAAATAGCAACACACCCTAATACATTATTTCTTGGTTCTAAATACACTGCGCTAATATTTTATTTTCTATTATCAGAATAAGTGATAGAAATGAACTAAGTCTAAACCACTGCAGCAGCAACCCCTCCAATTCCAAAATGCCATGGAAGAACATAGATTTCCCTGAAGGCCTGGGGTATTTATCCCTTTCTTCTCTCTTCTGATGTTTCAACTCATTTTGCAGGTTATTTGGGGCATACTTTTTGCTCAACAATGAAAACAGTATGAGCCAGCATATTCTAGGTGGAAAAAGGTTAAAGGATAATTTGTAATAGATTTCTATAGAGAAACTCATCTTATTTGACAATGGTCACATTCTTAAAGATGGACATATTATCACAAAAGCTTTCTTGAATTATCATCCACTTCATCATTCAAATATTTATATGGTTGGATTTTTAAATATATGGATACATGCATATTCTTTAAACATATCAAAGACTGTCACAAATTAATTTTGTATGAGTTTTATTTAGTAAAATGTGCACAATAGTGTTCTCAAATAAGGTTTATTTCCCCTTTTTCCCAACTTTTTGCTTCTTTCTTCTTCATCAATATGTTTATTTTATCAGTGTTCTTCTCAAAAGTTACCCTCTTTATTAAATAAATATAAAAACATTTGTATTCTTTGATAAGGAAAAAAAACCACATGGGCCTCTCCGCACATGTATTACTTTTTATGTACAGTGCTGAACAATCTTATATTTTTCAAAATCAGATGAATAATCTGTAGTGCAGTATCTGAATATTAAAGTGTCCTACTGATTACCCCATATAATTTTTTCAGCCTTGTAAGAGAAAACAATTGGAAACATTCTTCATGCTGTAAGTGTATTTGCTTTGCATGTTGCAGCATTACAGTAATATATCCTGTTAACATATGCATGAAGTACAAGAGGGACTTGCAAGAAAATGCTAAAATGTATCCCCCCCCAAAAAAAAGATTCTGAGTATGTTCTCTCTTCTCCCCATACTGCTTTCAGAAAGGCACAATTTTGCATCTGCTCTTAACTATTAAGTGTAAATCTGGGGTGTCACATGGCAACATTATTCATCTTACTATTTCTGTTCCGTTTCAAATCCAATCCACTGAATTTGCTAATGGAGGCGGCAGTGGTCACATGCATGTGAAAGTATCTTTACATGATGTGGGGGTGAAGCACTGGATGTTATCACAGATATGTGGTGTTAAATTCTGAGTAACCCTGAAGTATGTGCTGCAATCACATTTGTTCCAAGAAACATTCAACTGCCCTTTTGCAGAACAATCTAGCAAACAGAAGTTGAGTGGTTGGAGACAAATTATTACTCAGATTTTAAACATTTCATAATGCCAGAGACATTCATTTGGGAAAAAAGACTGCTATAAAGTAACAAAGGTTTATTCAATTTTGCTATTCATTTTAACAGACTAAGCACAGAATAATTTATACTAATGTAACTTACTATTTAAGAAAGGGGGGAAAGAGGGGGCGCTCATAAATAAGCTATGTTTAAAAAAAGCCATCATGCAATGTTAGCTAGGTTAGTTAAGTAGATAATAATACCTGATAAACCTATCAAGACTGGACAGCGTAAATTCTCATTCTCCTCCTGCCCTACCAAATACAAGAGGGAGAAAATGTTAGCTACTCAAGCAATTACCATGGTCATGTTCCACTGGTGAGCCCGGTAAAGAGAATCATTAACCTAAGTAGAGAGATGGATCCAGCTCTAGAGCAGTTATCATTATACAGGAATAAACAATACCAGGTGAAGATATATGGTGCTACGGTAGTAAAAAGCCAAAAGCCATTTTCAAATCCTTTAATGAAGGCTGCCAGTGCAGGATGCAAACAATTTTTCATATCCCAGCTAACACAGTTTCAGGAACATAATATTTTTGCTTATTAAAAAAAGGAAGTGTAAAAAAGATATATTCAACAGATTTCTAAATTCCTCTATTCTATTTAAAAGAAGTATATACTTTTTCTTATATTTCTTTCCCTGTTACACCTTTAATTCTTCTTCCTCTCTTGGTTTTTTTCAAGAAATGTTTCTTTTTTCCCCATTACTTTGTATTTTAAAAGTTTTTGAAAATTCGGTAAAGTTATGTTTAAAAAAGGAAGTATGCTACAAGCCAGAGAAACAGCAGACGGAAATGGTCTATTAATTTATTTAAATCATTTTATACTGCCTTTTACAGGTCAGTTCACAATGGGTCTTAAAAAAACAATAAACAATTCTTAGAGCTTAAAAAAATGTAAAATAATAAAAAGTTGTTGATAATATCAACAGAACTACCCTAAGAACCATCATGGCAAAATTAAATAAGAATTAAAACTCTTGTAAGTAAACATATTGTCAGTTAGTATCATTTGTAGAGTATTTCAAATGACAATACCACAGTAAGAATGCCCTTTCCTTGTAGCCAATCCATCTCAGCTTAGATAGACTTCAAGAAAAAAAATGGACTTCTAAATGTAATACAGCAGGTTAATATGGGGATAGATTTAATTAAGATAGCAAATCTAAAATGATCCACATGAATCAGTTTAGTGAAAAGAAAATACATCAAGCGAAATGTTAGTTGGATACAGGTCCTTTCTTGATGTTCATAAAAAATTGGAGCAGTGTAATTATCTCATTCCCAATTCAGACAAAGCCATTTTTCAGATTCCTTGTTCAAATTCTAAGATAAGGAAATAAAATAGAAGATACTGGAATTCTGAGCAGACTTCTTATTGTCACTGGGACAGTTGTCTTGTGAGAAAAAAATGCAGTTCGAAAAATATTATCCCTGCTTGCTGCAGACTCTTGTCCTGGGCACTGGTGACAATGAAGCTTTCCTGTGTAACCTACTTCAATCACAATTGAAATAGCAGGAATAAAGATATATTAAAAATGGGACGTTATTTTCATTTTCTTTCTGTCTCCTTTCCCATCTGTGGCATGTCGTTTTAGACAGAAAGCCTGAGAACAGGAAATGCCTGTCTTTTATTATTAGATAACCTGCTATGGAATGTTTTTAAAGACATTTAAATATATCAAACAGATAAATTTTCTTAAATTTTCTAAGCCGATTCTGTAACTCATACTACTTTTGCTTAAGGTCTTGAGGAGCACAGAGGGGGAAAAAAAAAGAATCGGATAGGCGAAAGCAAATTACTATATCTCATCTTTCTTCATCTCAGTGTCCTCATGATGTGTTGGCTGTGCCAGCTGGGAATTCTGGGAACTGCAGCTCAAAACATCTGGAGAACTTTACAACAAGTCCTAACAACCCACAGAGTTATAAAATGGACGGTTTCCATGCAGATTTCCCTGAGCATCTGGGAAGAAGAAAAGGTTTGTGGACCTGGTGAGCAATGTGACTCCCAAAGATGGAATAAGCAAGCTTTCACTTGACCTTTTCAGAGCCTCCACCCTCCTTTCCCCAAATGAAAGATAATTTTGCTGGGTAAACAGATCTGTGGTTGACTCATCAACATGCAAATTTCAGAAAGAGGTTTCTTGAGTAAAATAAAAGAACAGGACTTTTTTTTTTTTTTAAAGGTCTAATAAAATTCAAAAAGTGATACTAGATTTTTTTTTTTTCTGGTTAAAATGAATTGTAGCAAGGACAATAGAGGAGAGAATGTGCATCCCAGCCATCAAAATTTTTAACCCATAAAACACTAATTGAATTCATGATATCCATAACATTTTTAGTGTACTCGGAGAATATTGCTAGTTCTATTCCAGATCAGTGCAATAAAATGAATATTGCAATAAAGTGAGTCATACTTTTGTTTGTTTCCCAGTTCATATAAAAATTATGTTTACTCTATACTTCAGTCTATCGAATGTGTAATAGCATTATTCTAAAAAACAATCTACATACCTTAATTAAAAATACTTTTTTGCTAAACATTGCAAATCACCATCTGAACCTTCAGTGAGTTGTAATCTGTTTGCTGGTGGTGAACTATACTTGCAAAAATTCAATAAAGCAAAGCGCAATAAAATAAGATAGGCCTTTACATGAACGTCCTAAAGCAGTAGAATATGCAACTTTTTCAGTATCAAGAGGCGTACTTGGCCTTTAAGCACTGTACTTAAAGGAGCACACTCCAAAACTTGGAGGGATTAAGGCAAAAACTATAATTTAATTTGATTTTATTATAATTAAACAGTTAGTAGAATTGCTCTCATATGTGGCATTTAATCATTTTTTTATGTCATGTTACAAATTACTGTAAAGAGCTTAGGCATCCTTGGGGGCTTTTCCAAGACTTCTCCAGGCTCCATGTGACTCTGGGGCCTTAAGCTATGCACCTAAAGAAGGAACTGATAGATTACCACAAAATTAATTCATGAGTTTATAATTAACGTTTTTGAGAAATAATTAATGTTTAAATCCTTGTTAACAAACAGAAGCAAGAAATCAATATATATATAATGCATACTGAAAAGGATTGAATTTTTCTTTAAAAATTTATAAATGTATTAACCAGTGGAAAATAGGTATATTGTCAACATTTTTATTAGCACACGTTTTATTCAATTAGCCCCAGATTTTAAATTAATTCAGATGAAATCTGCAGTAATTATTCACAATTACATTTATTTGCCTATTGACTTACTTTATTTATTTATTTATTTATTTATTTATTTATTTATTTATTTATTTATTTATTTATTTATTTTAATTTGTATACCGCCCTTCTCCCAAAAGGGACTCGGGGCGGTGAACAGCCAAAATTAAAATACATACAATACAAAAGTTAAGATAATTAAAAGAGATTAAATCAATCGGCCTCCCAATTTAAAACCCCAAGTCTATAAAATTTAAAAATCCCATTAAAAACCATTTAGGCTAGGCCAGCTTGCTGGAATAAATAAGTCTTCAGGGCCTTACGGAAGGTCCGGAGGTCCGGGATCAGTCGTATTCCAGGAGGTAGCCCATTCCACAGAGAAGGCTCTCCCCCTGGGGGCCGCCAGCCGACATTGCTTGACCGACAGCACTCTGAGGAGGCCCTCTCTGTGAGAGCGTATTGGCCGGTGGGAAGTTATCGATAGCAGCAGACGGTCTCGTAGGTACCCTGGCCCTAAGCCATGGAGGACTTTAAAAGTGAGAACCAACACCTTAAGTGCACCCGGAAGACCACAGGAGCCAGTACAGCTTGTGAAGGAGAGGTGTTACATGGGAGTGCCACGTCACTCCCATAATGACCCGCGCGGCCGCATTCTGAACCCTCCGGGTGCTCCTCAAGGGGAGCCCCATGTAGAGAGCGTTGCAGTAGTCCAGGTGAGATGTGACGAGGGCATGGGTGACTGTGTATAAGGAGTCCTGATCCAGAAAGGGGCGCAACTGATGTATCAGGCGCACCTGATAAAAAGCCCCCCTGGCCACGACCATCATATGCTCTTCTAAAGACAGCCGTGTGTCCAGGAGGACACCCAAGTTGCGAGCACCCTCGGTGGGGGTCAATGACTCACCCCCAATAGCCAGCGATGGCACCAGCTGGCTATATCGGACGCCGGCATCCACAGCCACTCGGTCTTGGAAGGGTTGAGTTGAAGCCTGTTCCTCCCCATCCAGACCCACGCGGCCTCCAGACACTGGACATCACTTTGAGGGCATCATTGGGGTGGTCTGGGGTGAAGATGTGCAGCTGAGTGTCATCAGCGTACAGATGGCATCGCCCCCAAAACCACGGATGATCTCACCCAGCGGCTTCATATAAATGTTGAACAGGAGCGGCGAGAGGACCGACCCTTGCGGCACCCTGCAAACAAGGCACCTCGAGGTCGACCTCTGCCCCCCTGCCAACACGGACTGCGACCGGTCAGAGAGATAGGAGGAGAGCCACCGTAGCATGGTGCCTCCCACCCCTAATCCCCCCAGCCGGTGCAGCATGATACCATGGTCGATGGTATCAAAAGCCGCTGAGAGGTCTAACAGGACCAGAACAGAGGAACAACCCCTGTCCCGGGCCCTCCAGAGATCATCCACCAATGCGACCAATGCTGTCTCCGTGCTGTACCCAGGCCTGAAGCCGGACTGGCACGGATCTAGATAGACGGTTTCATCCAGGTACTGTGGGAGCTGTCGCGCAACCACACTCTCAACAACCTTCACAATAAAACGAAGGTTGGAGACCAGATGGTAGTTTGCCAGAACAGCCGGGTCCAGAGAAGGCTTCTTGAGGAGGGGCCTCACCACCGCCTCTTTCAAGATGGGAGGCAAGAAACCCTCTCTCAAAGAAGCATTTATAATCCTCTGGAGCCAGCCTCATGTTACCTCCCGGGTGGCCAGTACCAGCCAGGAGGGACACGGGTCCAATAAACATGTGGTTGCGTTTAACCTCCCCAGGATCCTGTCCACGTCCTCAGGAATCACAGGGTCAAACTCGTCCCAGATAACATTCTCAAGACCGGCCTCTCAAGACAGTCACCTCGCCGGGATCTACCCAGTCAGAGTCCAAGCCTTCCCAAATCTGAGCAATTTTATCATGCAGATACTGTGCAAAATACTCAGCCTGCCCTTGCAAGGGGTCCTCCCGTGCTCCCTGATGTAGGAGGGAGCGAGTCACCCTAAACAAGGT